TATGATTTAAGTTATATCCCACAAACAACAGCCAGTCAGTGTCCAGAAAGCTAATTACAGCAGCCCATCTTTGTCAAAGCTGAGCTCCTCATGGACAGACTGTCGGCCGCACCGACGGGAAAACGCACCTCCAGCGAACACTCACAATAACACCTGTTCCCTTACTCTGTCCGCTAATGGCGGCATTAGCATTAGCGGCAGCCCTGTCTCTCATCTTTGTGCCTCAAATGGCAGCAAGGATCTCCTGCCTCACATAATTAGGCATTCAGAGAGTGTTTTCCTGCGCGCCTCCTTGCCGATCAGAGACCAGCTACCCAGGGGATCAATATCCACGGGGTGTCCCCACAGAACAGCTCCAGAACCAGCCAAAAGGCTAAGTGAAATTGACTGCCACCGGCCAGGTCCAGCTACCATCATTCTAGGGGGCGTGTCGAGAGCGGAAGATCTGGGCTGGAGGCGTGGCCATGACAGCCATACCCAGCAGGCGGGAGAGCAGCTGGCCACACAAACCCAGCAGGAAACAGGAAGTCTTCGGCGTCCCGAACACCATCCCTCACAATTATCGACTTCAAACACCCCTGAGATTTAGGCAAAAAAACATGACATACTATCACATCAAAGGCAGACTTACAACGCTGGCTTCAAAGGAAATCCTTCATTACGAATGTGTCATTACCTCCCTTTAAGGGTGTTTCTGTTCCATGAAAATACACTGCATCTCTCACAAGTGAATACAGCTGTTAAATGGTACACATCAAAGACTAGATAAATCACCAGTGAGATCGCAGGGCCTCTCACTTCCGGGTGTTCTTTCTAAGGAGAACAGAAATCAGGTCCATTCCTCAGCTCTTCAGGAGACTGCAGCTGCGGCGTTTAAAGCGTGACATTTAGTAAAGCCATCTGAACGAAGCACCCTGCTTGTGGACACAGCAGACACGTCTGAACTTCCTCAAGCCCAGCAGACACGGTGATGTCCTCATCGCTGCCCACGATTCCTGAGCTGAATGTGTTAGGCAGCCATCACGAGATTTGGCGTTTGAGGGGCATAATTAGCACTGTGTCCCTTGGGGTCGGCAGAGGGCATCTTAGGGAACTGGGGGGGTCAGGCGCGAGTCGCGGTAGCCAAATGAGCGTGCTGAGCGGCAGCGAGACTAACAGCTGGTGACGAATATCTCATGACACATTGATGGGAATGTGGCACATGGTGAAACAAGGCTGACAGCACTGCAGTGCCAAGCTACAGCAAAAAGGCAAGATGACCACATCCTAATGGCCATTTAGGCATCAAACCCAAGCGTGTCCCTCATACAGGCGGAGATCTCCATATAGACGCACAGCAGGACTGATGGGGCAGGAATAAAGCACAGCTCCCACTGACACCCCCATTACGGCCATGACGCTGAAGCAAAAACGAGCAAACCATAACGGGGAATCGACCCAGGCCAGAAGGACCTATCCAAACCATAACGGGGAATCAAACCAGGCAAGAAGGACCTATCCAAACCATAACGGGGAATCGAACCAGGCCAGAAAGACCTATCCAAACCATAAGGGGGAATCGAACCAGGCCAGAAAGACCTATCCAAACCATAAGGGGGAATCGAACCAGGCCAGAAGGAACTATCAAAAGCAGGAGAATAAGGGGAATCGAGCACAGACAGAATGGCAGTGCCAAACCAGGAGAATAAAGAGGATCAACCCATATCCAAAATGGGAGAACCAAACTAGGAGAATAAGGGGAACTGAACCCAGACAGAATGGGTGCCCCAAACGAGGAGAATCAAACTCAGTCCGAATGGGAGAACCAAAGCAGGAGAATAAGGAGGATCACACCCCGTCCAGAAGGGGAGAACCAAAGCAGGAGAATAAGGAGGATCACACCCCGTCCAGAAGGGGAGAATCAAATTGTGCACAAATTCTTCCCCACAGTACGGAGTTTCCATGTCCCGCTGTAGCTGGCAGCTCTGGATGTAGGAAAACAGAAGCCTGTTGGGCCGAAATAACACTTCCTGCAGGAGAACTGTGGAAAGGGACAGCAGACCCCTTACCTGAGGTCACAGAATGCTTCTCTTACCCCTGCAGTCATCCAGAAAATGTCATCCCAATCTCAGCAGAGCACAGAGGTCCCTGCGACCAGCGACACGACCCACCATAATGAAGCGAATACATTTAAACACCCATGACAAACAACCAGAATGGGTCCATATTAATAATCACCAAAAAGGACGCGAAATAAACCCTCTCGACCTTCATCTTCTTTTCAATGACTCTGACCATTAATCAAGATTAGTCATGGAAACGGCATTACTATCAGCCAGCGACATCAGGGGTTTTTAACTTGGGTATCAGAGCCAAGTAATTAATGACATCATTGAGTTGAGATTAACTAATAAATAGGGGGCGGGGCTGCAGCAGGGTCCCGGGAGCTGGCGCTGGAACGAGCTCAGAGCCCATTACCAGCTTCCCGGTATTAATGGGGGCCAGGATCGTTTGGCTTTAATGCCTGATAGTGAGGTAAGTGCACAAACAGCCACTCAGCCTGTATGCAGCAGCACAGTACGTGACTAATGCTCAAAGATGGCGGGGGGGCAGTCATGCCTGCAGTCAGAAGGTTGCTTGTTCAAGTCCTGTGGCTGGCAGAAGAATTTTGCCATTGGGCCCCTGAGCACAGCGTTTAACCCCGATTGCTCCAAGGACAATCTGTCCCTGCCTTCATAAAAAGCTCCCTCTCCCCCATTGTCATCTGGCTTTCTTTCTTCCATTTCTTTGTGTTCCGTATTCCCTGGTTTTGAATTATGCTGCATAAATGATGCAGGAAAGTATCACAACACATCCATGTAAAGCGGCTTGGGGGGCGACTGTCGTGAAAGGCGCTATATAAAAATAAACTGAACTGAAGTGAATCCACAGAGGCCTGGTTTTTGTCCACATGGTTTGGGAGAAATCCCACCTGAGTCACACCTTTACTCCACGTGACGTTAGGAGGAGGGAGTCTTGCTCGTCTGATGACTCTGCAGGCTGGCACTCCCATCCCCCACACCGCCATGCACCACGCCCTGCCTGCGGGACTTGGTTATGCCCCCTAATACAGCTACATGCGCTTGCCAGGCTACATTTACCACATCAGATGCCAAGACCCCACCTCCCCCTCACAGAGATCCGCATCTCAGTCGGCATTAGATACAGCAGACAGCCATCGCATTTATGGGCTGCGTTTAGCCTCCCTCGAAGCACCGACAGTCGCCTTCTCTATGTCGGGTCAACCGGCAACCGGAGCATGGTGGTGGACCCCCCCGCTACGATTGGCTGACGGGCTGAGGGCCCTCCCCCCGGCGGCCATTTCACAGCCTGCTCTATGGATGAACATGAGATCTGCCAGGCAAGGAAGGGCTCAGCAGCTCACCGCGAGTCTGCTGCCCCCCGCAGGCCGCCGGCACGCATGAGCACGGGCGATACACCACGGCAAAGTACTCATCCGTTTAAGCACGTGGATTGCGCTCGCTCACGAGAAATGGCTCTTTAATCCAGGAGGAGGAAAAATCAGCGGCGGATCCTGTGTGGGGGGGGGGGGGGTGGCAGGGAACAGCAACCTTGGAAGCCATCAGACACGCTCTCGACACTGACGGCAGAACACGTGAGCGGGAGGAAGTAATGCCCGCCCACTGGCAATCTGCTAAAATCATAATTAGCTCTGAAAAGCTCTCTACATCTCCTGCTGCCCTCTGTACACACGACTTTTACGTGCGGTGAGATAACTGCTCGTGAGCAAAAGCTTTAAAAGGCAGAGGGGGCCAGGAGGTCAGCTGGTGGGGAGCACAAGTACAAGCCAGAGATCCAGGATACTGTCCGTACTGTAGAACAGGAACAGGCCAGACATGCAGGATCCTGTCCATACATAACGATCCAGACCATAGAACAGGAACAAGATAGACATCCAGCATCCTAAGTACTATATTGGGCAGAACAGAGTCCAGATCACATAATGCAATAATCTATCCTTACTTAATTATCTATCTTTAATAATCCTCACTTTCTCTTGTGCCTAATAACCACAACACAGCAGCTGATGTCACAGTGTTTCACACAGCAATGTGACAAGGGCTTCACAGCCATCGAGAAACTGATCAGCTGTCTGGATTAAATCAGGGCCATTAATTCTAATCAGCGCGAGCAGCCAGACGTGACGGCTGCCCGCGGGAACACGGCGAGCTGCGCGCTCCAGGGCTGGCCTGGCCGCGTTCTTCAGGGGTCAGCGGCTCCCCTCCACACCTGCGCCGCTGGGCGGGGCTTTCTGGGTGGGGCTTTCTGGGCGGAGCCTGCGGGGAAGAGAGGCGGGCCTGTGCGACGCTCAAGAAGCACAACTGGCCGGCTGGCGACAATGACTGGGAATTTGTTTCAGAAAAAAAAGAAAACCACTGCATAAGTGTGCTCACAGTTTATGTTTGGGGCATGTTACTCAAACACTATGGAGTGTGTGGTCTTACACTCTCATACAGGACACATTCCTTAAAGTGGGTTTTTAAATAATGAAGTAATAAAAGTCTCCAAACGGGGCATTTCTTCCAGCTAGCGTAAGCGTTATTAAAGCCCTCTGACATCAAACTGACACACTATATGACATGCTGTGCACTGAGACACCTGTTTGCAGGCTCTTCTGGGACAGGCAATGCAGTATTCGAGGCCAGCCGCACATGCGTGTGCATTTATTCCTGCCATAATACCGGGTGTAAGGTAGTGAGGCCTCACATGGCTGCCACAATAATCCCGTGACCTCAGAATGGCCCAGCTGTGGCCACATGAAGTGCTTACACGCAGAACTTTGCCCTGCGTGGGGCCTGTGCTCAATCCCGTTTTCACTTACACGAAATGCGGCACACACACCACAGATTAACTGCAGAAAATTGTGACGCATTAATCCCATAAAGACGGACACGTATTGGCCCCTTATCTGTGAGATGCACAACCCCCGAACGATTTAAGGGAAAAAAAATGGATCTTACCTTGGATTTCAGAGCCCAGTATTCCTCTGTACCGTATTGCACATTTCGGAGGGAAGTGAGGTAATCGTAGCTGATAACTGCAGTCTAAAGACAACAGCGAGATTAAGGCGGGAGGACCTGTCAGTTTGACAGATTTCAATGGGAACGGATATGTGTGAAATATGTAGAAAAGAAGGACAGTGAACCATAGGCTGGTCAAGTGAATCCGGCCATACTGGCCTTAACTTGGGGGGGGGCAGCTTAAAGGACACAGAAAGCCAAGTGTAGGCCGTCAGTACTACCCAATGTAAGTATGCAGAGTCTGAAGGACAAACAGGCAGTAAGGGAGGGTTTTAGCTAGACTTTTCATTATGACACGAAATTCTGTAGAAGGGAGATTAACCAAAGTATGAAATTATATCAGATGTGTTAGATATGCACCATTACTGAATACGTGAGCCAGTTTGTTTGTATCCGTATTAGATGACCTACCGTGGCTGCGGCTCTGCCAAACCTAACCACGCTGACGTCGCTGGGGTCCAGGTGTTTGCCGTAAAGGTAGAGGCCGGAGGAAGCGAGCAGCGCGGCGGCGGCGGCGGACGACACTTTGAGCAGGCGGCCAGCCATGGCGGCGCCGTAAAGCGGATGATGGAGGTGAGGGACTGGCGGCGGAGTCACCGGGCGGACCGGCCCACGGAGGCCGGCAAACCACAAGCGGCCGGGACGTCGCTTCGCTGCAAATTAAGGCGTTAGGTACTGATCAATCATTTCCGAATTACTTAAGGGACAAAATGTAAACGAAGTGGTAAATGTGCATTTAAATATCAAGTAATTTAGTTATAAATAATAAACATTTAAATTTTCCAAGATATGTATAAGTGAGATATGCAATCATTTTACTGTCCTATTTTGAGATCAAGAGGATTCAGTCTAAAATCTAAACGGTACACAAAACCATTCCGAAGTTTGTTTTAGTGGCTAATAACATCTGGAAATCACTCATCGTCCCCTTGAAAATAAACCAACATTTCCAAATTTCCATTTTCTGAAATTTCAAAATAGCTTCAGTTGCATGAATTTGTAGTTATTTTTAAAAATCACACCTGAACATGCAAAACGTGACGATTTTTTTAAGGTCCTGTCAAAACTAAGCAAATAAATTGTTTGACGTTACAGAAGTAACCTCAGTATGTTTCATTGATCTCCGGGTGTTTGACCAGTTGAGCTACCTATCGAGACGTGATACCGAGCCTTTCTGCGAATGTGCAGTTCCACCGTTTTGGGAATAGGGTCAGGTTTTAGGGGTTTTTGGGGGATCAGGGTTAGGATTAGGGCTATCGATTAGCACTACGGTAGCCTAACTGGACAAAGTACCTCAACTCGACAGAACACCGGCACGGTGATGATGTGCGGTTTTGTGTTAAAAACGAAACATATTCAGCGTTTTTAATGGATATCCTACAGGTAAGGACAAAGTCAGACGGGGCAGGGCGGACGACAGGTGGGATACAGGGGGGAAACGTGGCATCACGGGGGCTTGGCCATGCTGAGTAACCGGGAGGTCCAGGTGACATCGACTACCTTACCCAATAGGTTTCATAATCAATGTAATGTCACTTCACGATACGAATTTACCAAACCAGTATAAACTACTCAGTTACATATTTTTCCTCAATTCAAAAATTATTTTTTAAATCGATGTACGAAGGCTGCAAGGTTTCGCGTGGACAACTGCAATAATTTCCATTCACTCACCGGCTTTCCGCGACCTCTTACCTAACACAAGCTATATTACTGAGACTGCGCATGTCAGTATGTACGTAGCCGCTAGGGACGTCACTGCGCATGTTGCCTCGCACGTCATGCTGGTCAATGTAGTACACGTAACTCCTGTTCGCATATTCAATCAAAACAATGCAAGCGCACATATAAAGCCAAGCATTCCATAAGTATAAATTTGGCTATACTTCCTGTACAAATAAAAGTAATTTATATCATCATCTATGATAATTATTGTTAGAGGAATACTCAGTCCAGTCAAAGCAAACAATTAAGATATAATTATGTTTCCAACAAAACAATGATATTGAAGTACCTAGGAAAGTGTGCAAAAATTTGTATGATAGCTTACGGACTTAAAAAAAAAAAATGCTGGTTCTTGAGGACAGAGAAAGATCTACAGTCTTGGAGATTTAGCCTCACATACAAAGGGGGTCCATGCATATGGCTGGACTTTCCTACTGACCTTTGTGGTGTCCTGACAGTCACAGGAACGATACACTTCAGTCAAAAGAAAAGCTGGAGATCTGAATACACCATCCCCCATAAAAGTCAGTGGAAGTCATTTGTCAGTATTGAATGAAAGGATCACGTGCATAACTGGAAGCTGAGAAACAGTGAATGTGTGCAATAACAATGAAACATGCAGGGTACGATAAGTCCAGGGACTTTATTTTGCTTGGTGATAAATATTTACAATAAACCAGTGAACAGTTACACATTTTGTCAGATCACATATACTGGTTTACAATTTCTCAATAACAACAGACATTCAGCTTTCCTCCACTTCTCCGATCAATCTTCGGGGTACAGATTGTCTATTTCTACCAACCTGAAGCTGTGAAAAGAAAATCAAGTTAATATGACAGTTTTAACTTGCATAATATACATGGGAGACGCTTACAGTAGCAGAGCGATAATCTGGTGCTGGCTTGTGACCGAACTTACCTTTGTCTCTTCTATAATGTGTGGGTCTTTCTGTAGCGCATTAAAAAGCCCCTCTTCAGAGGTAAAACTGACCCAGCAGAATCCTTTGTGAAAACCAGTGTCCTTGTCCTGTGCAATGAATTAGACAATCAGTTTCACTGAAGAACACGGCAACATATTTTCTGATTACACTGAAGACAACTACTTACAAAAGGAAGAAGACATCTTTTTATCTGACCAAACTGCCCGAAGTATTCCCTCATTTCCTCTGCAAAATAAATAAATAAATAAATATACTGACAAAACTGACTGAAAGGAAATAAATAAATGGAATGCATTAGGCTCTTTTGGTGACAAATTCCCCTAAAATAAGTTGGGTCAAGAAAAAAGATTCCCCACATTCGTGTCTGGCATCGTTTGGCTGTAGCACTGCAGCATCTCTTCAGAGTCGATCAGGTTGTAGCTTATGACCTCTGGAATGTTGTGCCACTGTTCCAAGTTCATTGTGAAGTTGTCCATTATTGGTGCACTGATTCAGAGCATCCCAAAGATGCTCAATGGTTGACATGTCATGTGCATTTTATTTAACAGACACTTTCATACCAAGTGCTGTATAATTGAGAACGCAGCCCCCGAAGAAACTGGGGGTTAAGCTTGCTCAAGGGCCCAAAAGTGAAATCACTTTGCTGATCCAGAGAGATGGCTTTTGGTGAGGAAGTGGGCATTCATGGCTCTGCTAACAGCTCTGGTGGACATCCCTGCACCCAACATGCCAATGGCACAGCCTTGCAAAACTTGAGGTGCCTGGGGCATTGTTTTATTTAACAAAAACTGCACAATTTAAATTGCCATATTATTGTAGTCAAAATAAAGCACACCTGTGTAGCAATCAAGTTGCTCAATCAGCAGGTTGATGTTACTCTTGTACTGTATATGGCAGGGGTGTCAAACTCCAGTCCTGGAGGGCTGGAGCCCTGCACATTTTTGGGTTTCCCTTCATTTAACACACCTGATTCAACTCCTTGCACCTCCTTGTGCTAATTACCACAAGCCCACAGCTGATAAATTTGTGGTGGAACTGGGAACGAGCTAAGTTACACAGGGCTCCGCCCCCCCGGGACTGGAGTTCGACACCCCTGGTATATGGATTACGAATGCATAAATAACTTTTTATTTGGTAATATCTGAAAGACATACGCGCTTGGTACGCCCACAAAATATCCTGATTTTTTTTTTTTCGAACTGCTGGAAAATGGGAGTAAAACACAAAATGCAGCCATTTATATTCTTGCTCAGCATAAGATGCATACTCGTAAATTAGCCACACGTGACATACCCGAATTCGTTATTTTTGCGTTCCATTAAGTTAAAATGAAAATGTACAAATACTTAACAATTAGAACAACCCGGCAACATCCGCCCCACAACAGATTGACAGTGACGACCGCAACAGTCTATCAAAGATTCTAAATTCTAACACGTTTTACCTGAAACATGCCGGCGAGCCGTCAAGCAAGCAAGGTGACATTGATCATTTCTTTGTAAACATGCAGACTCCATAAATCACTTCACGTTAAATGTAACGGCACACCACCCTTGAACTGGGTGGAATATTTAAATGTGCACCGATACTCACTGTTTGCGACAGTCCATGGTACTTTGTTAACGAAGAGCTCGAAAACCTTCTTCGCGGGAGCAGCCATTTTTTCCGGAAGCAGACTGCGCGCGACCTCTCACCCCAAGTCACATGACACGACGCCACGTGAAACCCCTCAAAGCGTTGCAAAATGAAATATTCTACGGCAATATTGTCATTTCATTCACTCGTCATATTTAGCATTCATGTAAGCATGTCATTTAGTAAAAGTCAGTTACTTGCCCCTACAGAATACCTTGAAAGTGGAATTAAACTCACACGGCAAACAGACCGGCCGTTGCTTAGGAAACCAGCGTTGGTTAGTAGGTACGACGCATGTGCCGTATCTACGTCCGTTTAAGCGCGTGCTCAATGAGACACAATTAAATTACACCAAGCTTAATGTTCCGCTAGGTAAGGGACAGTTTCCAGACAAACATGCATGTACGATTCACTTTAATTTAACGTTTTTTTTTTTACTACTCGTGACAATTAAATAATTTGGTATGATGTATTAAAGCTTTCTACTAGCTCTATGCGGAAGGAATGGCAAACAGCATTGAGCAACGTTTATTCTAGTTAAGGTTTATTTCCCTTTCAATGCGCTAACCGCCATCACCTTGTCAGCTGCTATTGACTATGAAGAAGCCATTCACTACGAAATATACTAAAGCCCTTACCAAAAAACCATCAGGTTGTTTCTGCATCATCTGAAACTATATAAAAACAATGCATACAGTAAAAGATGATGCAGACATCGTTGGACAGATTTATAAACATTTATTATAGCCAATCACAGGGCCATGCAATCTTGCCTGTTGGACAGGAAACACCATGGTTATGAATAGAAACCAGTTCAGGATTTATAGTGACAGGCCCCCACAGGACTACAATTGCACAAAACAGATGTTTTTCGACATAATTGCACATTACTGCTTCTCTACCTGCTGCCCTTAAGTCATATACAAATAAAAATACTTTCCAGCACATCCAGCTCTAACCTGCAGACATATAGGCTACTCTAGTGTTTCCATATTTTAGATGTGTAACTGGAAATCTAATTTGCTTGTTTGAGTAACAGCTCACACACCAAACATAAATTTAGTGTAGGAATTTCTGAGATAGTAACCACTCCTTGTGACTTCTGACACAAAATGTAAATGCTTCCCACAGCTAGTAACTGGATAAGGCAGAGGCACCCAATTAACTCAAAATTTTAATTTTTGTTACATTACACATAAGGCTGGCAGTTGTCTTGCAGGCATTCATTTCTATTCAGCACATTGTGTTAGTTTTTTGTGACATTCTGTCCCAAATTTAAAAATGCAGACAGAACACTGTAGCTATTTACATTATTTTCAGTCGGACCTAAAATGACAACCATATGCATGCACTCGATTTACAACAAAACAGAAACACTGATCCAAACCTTTATTCTGGTCTGCACTCTGCAGCAATGTGTCTTCCTCTGATACTGCGAATGTCACTCCTCCTATGTAATCAAATTCAGGATAACAATTCTCATTTGCATAGAGGATTGAGGTGTCATTTACCAAACCTGGTCATGTGACCTCTTATCATGGGAGCGCAGGTGTGTGTGGTAAGTGCCGCTGACCCAGTTACATTCATGGAGCTGGTTCAATTACCCAGCAGCCAGCCAAACAGAAAAGTGAAATGACACAAGGTTACTAGTATGTTTCTCCATCCTAGACATTCCCCATAGAAAACAAAACAGGGTATTGATATGGAGCCTTTTTACAAAGATTCACTCAGATGGTTTTGTATAGGTTTATAAAAGAAGCAGAAGCTCAGCTATAATAATAAAATATCCTTTCTTACCAGTATCTCTCTCTTTTTCTCTTTAAAGTGCCCTGGGTTGGCGCCGCATCCTGGGTTGTACCCTGCTCTGCGCCCATAGCTTCCGGGATAGGGTCTGAATCCCTGCAACTTAAGCTAGGATGGATGGATGAATGGATGGATGGATGTGCCCTGTTTTGTCATCTTTTTCACTGTACATTTTAAGCATGAGATGGTTTCTTAGCAGCTCTGCTAAGACACTCTGACATTAAGTCTTTCTTCTCTCCTGCCTCTGTCCTTTGACACCTCTATGCCTCCCCACAAGTGCAATACCGCAAAAGTGTGCCAGGCTGACGTCAGTGCTGGTGGGGGACAGATGGAAACACCCAGCGAAAAGACTCTGCAGTGGGACCCTCCAGCTGTGCAGCCTGTAGGGTGGAGGAGCTGCAACCTCATTGTGCCCGCAGAGGCTTTCAGGGGGGAGAGGTCAGAGGTGACCTAATGGGTGTTTCAGTCATTACAGAAGGGCTGGCATGTTAGAAGGCTGGAGCCACACAGTCCTAAGGATACTGCTGCAGCAGTGACGTGTATCTGTGCTCTGTCTGGCATTGCTGTGAAACAACCTGATATTATCAAGAGCACATTCACTTTGATAGCATAAGGGGTAAATCATCACATTGGGGTTTATGGTCACGGTTCGTACAGCACAAATCAAAAAATCTGAACACACCGACTGAAAATCCTTTGTTTTTCAACAAGATAACAATCCTAATCACACCTCGAGGTTATGTTGTAAGTTTTATCTTGTGAACAGAGATGGAGTGCTGTGACAGATGTCCTGACCCCCACAATCCCCCGACCTAAATCCTATAGAGCTGGTTTGGGATGGGATGGATCAGAGAATAAGAGCAAAGTAGCCAACTTGTGCCCAGAACTTGCAGAAACTCCTTTAGGACTGTTGGCTTGTGGGAGTTTTACTTGCACAAAAATGTTCTGTGGGCAGAAGAAAAATGATTGGTTCAGCGAGATGACTAATGAGATTGTACAGGAGGTGGGTCCAAGCAACTAGAGGAGGCAGGACCAAGACATCTGTTAGTTGCTCCCACCTATAAACTAATTGGTTAACTCTCTGAACCAATCATTTTTCTTTCTGCCCTCAGAACATTTTTGTGTAAGTACAACTCCCATGAGCAGCCTGTAGGATGCTGTCATCAAGGAAAAGGGGGCTATTTTGAAGAGTCTAAAATTTAAGAAAAGTTGAGTGTCCAGACTTTTGGCTGGTACTGTATAAACATAAAATAACAAAAGTAATATGCACCATTTGAAATTATCTATAATGTAACATAACTGTTTTAATCTAATTCACCTTCCACAAAGCAGGAGCACTGGCATGTTCCTTGTGGTTCCACTGAACAGAGTACAGGAGCTTCGTACATCCTGACTGTGGTTCATGGTCCACAGAGGCAATCTGCTATATCCTGGTTCCTGCTAGGACTCATGCTACCTCTCAAGACGGTTCATCTTTAATTGTACCGGCATGACGCCCGTCTCGTTTATATGCTAATGACACAAAAGTGTTTAGTCTTCTGTCATATTAAATCAGTCAGGAACTGTACAGCGCACTCATTAGCTGTGATCTCAGTTTGACATTGCCAAATGTCTGACAACAGTGAGAGAATGTTAAACGGATGCTGCATTACTACATCAGAGATGCAGGGGGAGCCTGGCTAAATCTGACAGGCAGGGAGAAGGGGTTCACTGTGGACAGTCTGCGGTGTCCGTTAACCTCTATCACTGCAGAAGAATCAGCATTTAGCAAAGCAATTGTAATTTGTTTTCAAATTTAATGACCTTCGGTTCAGTCTTAATATTCAATTTCGAACAGATAATATTAGTTTCCAGGTTAGTAATTTGTTTTCTAAGAAGTATCACAAATTCACGACCTTAAATGAACCCTGAATGTGTACTAAATGTGTTTCAAATCCATCCATATTCGAATTACTTGGCCAGGGAGTTTTACATTCTTTTTCAAAATATATGTGCCTTAGGACTCCACCGGAGACCTAAGAGAACTCCATAATGCTATTGAAGTGATCAACTTAGTACGTTTCTGTTACATCCTTTCACAGAAGTATCAGATGTATCCAATGCATAGGATAAATTAAGATGTGGGGGTTTAGAAGAACTGGCATCCTGTCCAGAGTGTAGCCCAGCCTTGTTCCCCTCTTCCGCACGGGACGGCCCACCCACAACCCTGATCAGGAAACAGTCGGATGGATGGGTTTAAGAGGAACTGGATTATTTAGTACTGTTGCGACAATAAGGTAAGAAGCCATATTGGTGATCAGCCTTGATGGTTTTCCACTAGCTCAGCTGAACACATGACAATTGCTCCCACCCTTGGTTTCCAATTCTCCTTTGTTCTATCAGTACTCAAGATGAAACCCAAGGAACAGCCTGACCTTTGTAAAATGAATGGTCCTTACAGGTCATTGAAGTGGCTACAATAGCTAAACAGTGTCTAATAAGACTAAATCAATCTCTATCTGCTCAAATTAGATTCTCACCATACTGGTTAGACAGCTCTTTCAGGGATGCTCTACTGACAGAGCCCGCTAGCTACTGGCTTCATGTGCTGTATGGAAACTTGTTTCCCTTTGAATACATGATTAATTAAGAAACTGCAGTAACAAACCGGCACCATAACAAAGGATCCAATCAAATGCATCACCTACGGACACATGTGAATATTCAGCAATACAATATGGCACAAATGAAGGCGATAGCTTGCATAATTACACTTTGATTGCACACCCGCGCTTGGCTGCCACTGAGCGGAGGAAAAGTCGGAAACAGAAGTGCGAATTTGCACAATCCGGATGAAATGTCTGCGTCTATGCAGACGTTTACGTATCGCGGGGTGCCGCTTCGTCTGCACCCCCGTTCTAAAGGGACACAAAAAACTGTGAAAACTCCAACTGGCTGTCTCCTAGAGCATCTCAGGTACACGCCCTGTTATGCCCCGTCCAGCTCAGGTACACGCCCTGTTATGCCCCGTCCAGCTCAGGTACACGCCCTGTGATGCCCCGTCCAGCTCAGGTACACGCCCTGTGATGCCCCGTCCAGCTCAGGTACACGCCCTGTGATGCCCCGTCCAGCTCAGGTACACGCCCTGCAATATCCCAGCTCTCTACTGCTGGCAACAGGCCAGCGATCTATCATGAGTATCTCTGATTAGGGCCTGCTAACCGGCATCAGTAACTCCTGCATAAAATTCACTGAAGCAGTGAAAAGCTCTTCTCCTGAATAATAAGTAAGCCAGATTTGTACATGAATACATTCTGGTTGAAAATTCCCTAATTTCCAGCCTCAGCAATGGTATGAGCAGATCTATGGGAATCAGTCTAAGTTAGTACTCACCACATATAGTACCAGTCATGTCTGCACACACCTTGATGCATGTGTCTCTATTTTAGCTATATGTTATTCATCATATAGCTTAAGAC